CATTAACCTAATTCTGACATTTGTTGGCAAAATTATCAAATAAAAAGTACACATTAATAGTATATTGTTATATATAATAGTAAGTTGTTATTGACTAATTAGTATATTAATAAGTATACTATATAATATATATAACATATTTTTATATATTATAATATAGTTAATTATTAATATTAGTTATTTTTCTATAGTACACTAATATTAATAATTTAATATAACTTACTATATTAGTATAAGTTATACTATATTACTATAGTTTATTAATAATTTTTTAAGAAATTAAGTTACTATAGTCTATGGTCTATAGAGTATAGAATAGATATTGTACATTAATAAATATACTATATATAGTATAATAAATTAATAATTGAATATAAAATAAGTTAATATAATAAGTTATATTAATGACTTAAGCTTAGGGTATAGTTTCAATTGATTTTGCATTAATTTTTGTATGGTTATATTTATATAAATATTCAATAATATTAATGTCTAAAATGTATTTTATTTTTTTTATTTTTTGATGATTAAATCTAAGTCATTTATTCATATATAAGTATAGAAAAAATGTGTGAACCAATACATATAAGAAAATCCCCTTTGATGATTAAATCTAACTCTTCATATATATATATATAATATCAGTGTGAGTGCATACATGTAATAATCTTTTAATATAATTATTTCAAAGTCAATTAATTTGATTAACCAATCTTAAAATTTTTTAACCGAATGGAATCAACAAAATCGATTTAACTAAAATTTTTAACTGATTTATCCAAATTAATCAAATTGACTAAAATTGAATTAACCAAATTTATTGATTAATTCAATTTTAACCGAAATTCGCTCACCCCTAACAATGCATACAAGGTATGGAAAAAGATGATAATAGGTAGCATATTCTTCTTTATACTAAATATTGCATATTTAGAAAAAAAAACCTAGTTTAGATGAATATGTATATATAGTTAATTTAGTAAATACTGCATATTAAATGTTGAATGCTTTTATACTAACATGATGAATTTCAACACCGTGTTATATTGCATATTAAACCTATAACTATTTAATATGGTTGAAAAAATTCTTCATAAATAATTTTTGTTTTCGGCTTGAATTTTGACGGACGAGCCAACCACTATGGGGGCAGCATTCGCAAAGAGTGATTGCAGTACATCTCAACCCAGATGTATAAGGAAAATTTAGATTTAAATTATACAAGTTAACCTTTCTAGTTAAAATGGTACAAGTTCGATCTCTCCTTCAATCCTCGATCTTCAAAATCAGGGTGGCTAAAGAAGATTGCGATGTCATAAAGATAGGTGAATCTCTGTGTGGCGGAGTCCACTTATAATATGCTATGTTGGGAGTGTGGAGAGAATTAGAATTACATTTTGAGTAAGAGTGAGTAGTTTTTTATTAAAACTGAATTAGCCGAATTAATTGAATAAATTTGGCTAAAATACTTCTATTAAATTAGTTTTTCATTAATTTAGAAGTGAAAGCAGCAAAATCTATTAATTGGATAAGTTTTGATTTTGAAAGAAAAAATTCACTTAATCAAACTCACTATTTTAGTGACGAAGATGCTCACTTTTTTTTTTTTACAGTTATTTCCTTGATGGAAGTTTTTAATATTTTTAGTTGTTGGAAGTGAAAAATATTTTATTATTTTTCTTGCTTATCTTCATTTTTAATCATGTTTGTTTGAATATTTGAATAGATTAAATTTATGATACTGTTAAAATTTTATAATTTAAATTTATTTATTTTATAAGTGGTCAAAAAAAAAAAGTTAGGAATATTGGGCTTGAGTGCATTAAAGCCCACGAGTTCAAAATTTTATATTAATTTGATTATCAATTGAGTTAATTGATGTAATTCTATTAATCGGTTAATATTTGATTTTTAATCGATTCAGTTAATTCTTAAATAATATTTAATTAATTCAATTATAAAAAAAATTTCTTAACTCAATTAATCAAATCGATGGTTTCTCTACCTCTGATTCTAAACCTAAACTGGACAATCTAGCTTACAATATAAAAAAAATGAAAATGAAAAAGATACACTCCTATTTTTAACCTACTATGTGGTTTGACTAGTGGCTTAAAACTCCTACGAAATCATCTGAGCCAATAAACAATGGAGATCTTCTTCTCCCGTTGGCCGTAAAAGCTATAAAAGCTAGCTCATTATTGTATTAGCTAGCAGACATATCTACTCTAGCATAAATAGATATAACCAGACAGTTCAAAACCAAAATTACATTGCGAATAATAGCTTAACAACTAACTTAAGGATAGTCGTTCATATAATTACTTCTACGATGCATTTCATAATTTTTTACATAAAAATCAAACTTTATTTTTAAGCGGATTTTGCGAACGAGTATTTTAAAAACACTCTTTAAGATTAGTTTATAATAATATTTTTTTTATTAAATATAATAGTTGATAATTAATATGATGGATTTTAATGTATTAAAAAAGTACTTAAAATAATAATTTTAAAATTATCTAATACCAATTGCTAATTATTGGTGATTGGTTTTGACTAACTAAAAGACTCTTGGTGACATTGAAATTCCACCAATCGGTCCTTAATAGGAGACAGTGAAAATGGGTGTTGAATGTTTGTCTATAAAAATTAACTTGACCATTAATTTGAATCGAAATTAATATCTTTTTGATCACTAAAAATTGGCAGTAATGGTACTGTTAATTAGTCGTAAATAAAGGCGTAAATTTTACTTACACTCTTTATGATTTTAATTTTCTAAATAACATGGTGTGTTTTTTTTTTGTGTCAATTAATTTCTTGTGGATATATTGTATTTTCGAAAAGAGTTACATCATTAAATTTTTTAAGTACTAGTATCAAAATGATCTTAAATGTGCACAAAATAGACTAGCTTTTAAATTGAGAATATTTTATTAACTTTATTTTGTGAAATTATCGATATAACCCATTATTTTAGGAATAGAACTTATCTTTACGAAATTAATTAAAAAAAGATACATCACTGTTATGTGAAAAAATTTAAAATTATTAGGTGTAGATAAAATTTATTTTAAATAAATAAATTTGGTGCAAGGAATGAATGATTTGCAGCCAACTACATGAGTAAAAAATACATACTCAAATGCAAAAAAAAAAAAACTTAATTTTAACTCAATTATGTCTAAAATCAATTATTTAAGTTTTTTTTATTGAAATAATGGTTTAAGCATTTTATGTTTTCTCAGTATATGAAAAAAACAAAAAGCATTTTACGTTTACTTCCTTGAAATACTTTATTCTCAAATATTATTTATTTATAGCTAGTTGTACAATATATAGGTGATATATTGTCCAAAAATATCTCTGCTTTAATATATAAACAAATCCCAATGATATATCGGGGAAAAAGATAACTCACTAGCTACATGTAACCTACAGTACGATGATGTGGACAGCAAAATGTAACAAAAATTTGATATTGACCGCCAATAGATATGAACGCAACACCGACCACGTCATCAAAAAATCGAAATAATTTTGTGATTTTGCCCATGTGTTAAATATTCTGATATAATTAAGTAAACGCTAATATTTTGTTGGAACCAAGACAGAACGGACAAAAAATGTAGGAGTAAGAAAGATAGATGGTAGTAATCACGGGCACTAATGGGTGCGTCTAGTTTTGTGAAAAAGAAATTAATATTAAATATTTTATGAGAATAAAATGAGAAACAAATATAATAAAAATATTATCATGTCATTTAATTGATAGAATAAAATAAGATAAAAATTGATATTATGATTTATTATAATATTTGATTGATAAAAATAATTTTAGAATAATAAAAGAATAGATGATAAAAAGATAAAAATATTGTTTATTATTATATATGATTATCAATTTTTATTTTATTTTTTAAATATTAATAATTTATAATTTATTTAAATTATTAATAATTGATCATTTAAATATGAACATTTTAAGATATTAATATTTTATATATGCTCTAAATATTATCATGGTTAAATTATTTATAATTTTAATTAATTTTTAAATTTAAAGTATTATTTTTTGTAATATATAAATAAAAGCTTAAATTTTTTATTATAATATATGATTATCTATTTTTATTTTATTTTTTAAATATTAATAATTTATAATTTATTTAAAATATTAATAATTGATCATTTAAATATGAACATTTTAAGATATTAATATTTTATGTATGATCTAAATATTATAATGGTTAAATTATTTATAATTTTAATTAATTTTTAAATTTAAAGTATTATTTTTTATAATATATAAATAAAAGCTTAAACTTTTTATTATAATATATGATTATCTATTTTTATTTTATTTTTTAAATATTAATAATTTATCTTTTATTTAAAATATCAATAATTGATAATTTAAATGTTAATACTTTATTTATTAATTAAATGTTATTATGATTAAAATATTAATAATTTTAATTAATTTTAAAATTTTAAATATTAATTTTTTATAATATATAATTAAAAGCTTAAACTTTTTTTTTTAATTTTTTTTTCATTTTCACTTATAAAAGGTTTTTTTGTCTTATCAATTTTAAAAGCTATTTTCTCAGCCATAAAATAACAAATACCATGAGATTAAGATTAATTAAATTTTTATTTTGAGTGATTTTGAATAACAAAGACTGCAGAAACAGAATGACATAGCCATTCCCCAACCAGACGTGTAATTGCCATTAACGGGGAGTATTATTGAGGCATCTTTTCTTTATTAGGGGTGTTTTCCAGGTTGAGGTAGTAAAAGGGCGGGGAGACAAAGGTGTCCGTACGCGGGGCCTCAACGTGGGAGATGCATGCCCCTTGATGAGCCTCTCGACGGCAGGGATGCCACGACTGTACTCTTATTCAAGGCAAACGTGGCGCCACCTTTCACCACAGATAAATCCACATCACGTGCCCACACACACCCGTCTCTGTCTCTCTCTCTGTCTCTCTAGGCATATTTTCAGCTTTCACTAATTTATAAAATCCAAATGCGCTTCCTTATAAAACCAAGTCATGTTGTTGATGTTGGTTTTGTTGCTCTAAAGAGGTACATGATCGTAGTATTTCCCGGCTAGTCAAAACTGCTTGCTTTCTTTCGCTTGATATATCTTTTCCGATTCTAGCGATAAATATATCTACATTTGGCCCTCTCCCTTCGGCTGGGCGGTGCGAGACATGGGGAGGGCGCCCTGCTGCGAAAAGGTTGGGTTGAAGAAGGGGAGATGGACCACGGAAGAGGATGAGATTTTGACCAAGTATGTTCAAGCTAATGGAGAAGGGTCCTGGAGATCGTTGCCCAAGAACGCTGGTAATTAATAACGGTTCCTTCTTTTCTTGGTTTAATCAAAGTTAGGCATTCTTCTTTCTGTTTTT